GTGATAGTTTGCTGAGAAGACTGTGCAGCCATAAAAAAGGATGAGTTTGAGTCTGTTAGATTTCTTCCCTCTGCTTTACGCAGCTTCGTCCCTTAGGCTCCACATGCTGACTGCCAGTAGTTCCAGGGCCTTAATTTTCTTAACCTCAAGACCAGGGAGCAAGAGGAAGGGTCATGTTCCCAAAAGTATTATTATACCTTAGTGGTTTTCATTGAATATTATGCTCATTCTGGAACCAAATCAATCTCCAGAGAATATCAAACATAAAGTCCCATAAAGTGTGGCAAGTTCCACAACCTGCTAGACTGTTTCCGGCAAACCAGTCATTGGATTCTGTTGTCACCGGAACATAGCTATAGCTAGCTTAGTGCCTGCCTTCATTGCAGGGCCTCTATTTCTGAAGCACATTGTGCGTCCTCTGGTCCTCCTTAGTGCTCACCTGAGTCTGGCCCACTTTCTTCTTGTTCCAGCCTCCCAAATGTTTGTGTGATCATTGGCTTCCTAATTCTATGCCATTTTCCTGATATTTCTGTCCCTACCTTTATCTTTACTCTCTTGAGAATTCTAGCTATCCCATTCTCTGTCCCCAAGGGGAAAAAAAAAAGGGATTTGTGTAATAGTAGGGAAGTGTTTTTCTATATTTGTTTTGTAATAATTCAAGTCTGGAATTTTTTTTTCATTCTCTCCTTGCCCCAGTCAATAAGAACTTGTAATTATGTAACTTTGGGAGGGTTAAAAAGAGCCTTCCATCAACTCTACTTAAGTTCTCTAAGAGGTTAGGCACTTTGCAAGTGATATGCATAATATAGAATGATATGAATTTTGACATTTCAGTACTAGTTCTTTTAAGACAATTCCTCATAATTTTAGTACAACATCAGTATTTAGTGCAATATCGGTATTTTAAAGTGGTTCCTGCATAATAGAAATACCTAATATGATCCAAATTCTGTATGTATGATGTTATTTCTACAAATATAAGATTTTATCATGCTTACAAATATTCTTTTTTAAATGAAAGCCACTATAGGGTGAGAAAGGAATCTCATTCCTCTGTATGCTTTGTAGACAAAATGTTGTCAAGCCCATTCCTAAAGAGACTTCCAGGAATAAATATCAACCTTTTCTGACTTTTCTTTAGTAGATAATTACCTTTGCTTCCATAAACTTGTTCTTTATGGCTTTCTTAGTTCTTTTGCTTTAATTTTGACCACTCCAAGTGATGGTTTAGGGTGGATTAGAAACAGACACACCTGAAGAGGTACTTAGCAAGTTTCTCACGGTCATAGAAAGAGGTTACAAATAAGGAATGGGAGAAGGCTAGAAACCACTCTGTGCTGTTGGATTTGAACCTGAGGTATCAGTATGAATTCATGGTTTTTAATATATTTACCAGTGGATAGAGAGAGAGACAAAGATACGTAGGTATACAGGGGTTGCTATACATACATATACTTCTTAGCTCTGCTGAAAGGACCTAGCAGCAGTGACACCCCAGTAGCAACGAGCATACCTACCACCCAGATTTTGGTTTCTAGATACCATTCTTCAACAAAAGAAACCAGAGCTCCTTGGAGAAATGGCTGGTGTTGGAGATAGGGTGGGAAAAATACAAGATGAGCCTGAAATATTTTGTGGCCTGAAAGTAAAGAAGTTCTCAAAAAATAATGGGCATAGGCCAGGTGCAGTGGCTTTCGCCTGTAATCCCAGCACTTCGAGAAGCCGAGATGTGCAGATCAACCAAGGTCAGGAGTTTGAGACCAGCTTGGCCAACATGGTGAAACCCCATCTCTACTAAAAAGACAAAAATTAGCCGGGCATGGTGGTGAGCGCCTGTAATCCAAGCTGTTCGGGAGGCTGAGGCAGGAGAATCACTGGAATCCGGGAGACAGAGGTTGCAGTGAGCCAAGATCATGCCACTGCACTCCAGCCTGTGTGACAGAGTGAGACTCTGTCTCAAAAAAAAACAACAACAAAAAAAAGATGAGCATATACTAAAAGGACACAGGGACCATCTTAAAGGGCTCCCAATGGCCAAAGCTGGTTCAGAGTAAGCAACAATGTAAATAATGATAGTATTGGATTATAACCCATAAAAATGAATATTCATGAGTCCATACTGATATAAATAAATAATTGAATTAGTATATGGGGTAGAAGGGACAGCTCTAGTATATGTGCTACCGAAGTGGGCACTAGAAGGGACAGCTCTAAATAAGGGAAATAGGAAACCACCATTATCACACACCATAAGAAATCATTGCAGGTGAGACTACTGGTGGATGCTAACATCAGTGGGTGAAAGTTTGAAGAAAAAGATCATATTTGCATAACCTCCAAGTGTCTCTCCCACAAAAATACTTACTTACAAGGGGAAAGTGTTAACTTTACAGTGGCAAAATGTGACAGACACCACTTTAGCCATATGATCAGAGTTAATATTGTAAATAGTAAAATATTAAGTATCACATACACCAATATGATGCACTAAGGGTGTCACTTCTGTGGTATTGCCAAAAATGCATAACCTCATTCTAATCACAAGAAAACATCAGATAAACCCCAACTGACAGACATGTTGCAGAATGACTGTCCTGGGTTATTCCACAGTATTGAGGTCATGAAAGACAAAGAAAGCTGGGGGATCTGTCACATATTAAAGAATACTAAGAAGCTTTGATGATTAAATTCAGCAGAGATCCTAGGTTGAATCCTGGACCAGAAAGAGGAAAGTAGTGGGAAAAATGGCAAAATTTTAAAAAGATGTGTAGATTATTTAAAAGTATTATATTGATGTGGATTTCCTGATTGCAGTATTTGTACTAAAGTTACTTAGCTAGGTGAAGGGTATACAGGAACGTTATACAGTATGTTTTTTCAGCTTTTATGTAGGTCCAAAGTTATTTCAAAATAGAAAGCTTTTTTTTTTTTTTTTTTAAGTGAAGGGTCTTGGAGTAGATGATTTCTAGATCTCTTCCATCCAGCCTTGTTATGTTACAGTGGTACAAAATGAAACCGAAGATGTAAGCAGTTTTATTTCCTGTCTACCAATTAAGAAATACGTTGAGGCAGCTGAAAAATAGGATCAGATTCTAAACTGTCGATTCAGTTCAATGGAACATGTCCTGAATAGCTACTGTTGTGCCCAGGACTACACTGAATAAGCTGGTCCTTGCCTCCAGCGTGGTCAGTACTAGAGCTTGAAAATGGTGTGATCGTCTCTTTCAGTCACTCATATTATTCAGGTGTCTCTTCTTTGATGTTTTAAAATAATGGAATTGGAGAGAATGAAATAGAAATTGATAAGTTTTAGAAATTTGTCAAAGGAAATAAGAGCCTTCAAAGAGGACCTGAGGTTTTTCAGTCTGGGTGCCTGAAGAGATAATGATAACCATTAAATAAGATAAGCAAACTAGGTGGCCTTTGGCATTAAACACTGTGTACAAGGATTCAATATGACTATCATAATAAGATTACAAACAGTTAATTAGGTATGTCAGTGTGGGGTTGTACAAAGATATGTGTATTTGAAAATAAAAGATGATGTAATCCTGACATTCTGTTAAGGCTCATTTACTAAATAATTGTACTGAATTAAGGCTATACTTTTATGCCTTTATGGCAAATTTCTGGATGATGAATAGATATATTTCATTTAGCAAATATTTACTTTTAGAAGTTTTAGATATTTTAGAAAGGTAATGCTGTTAAGTCAGAAAATTATGGCTTAAGTTATGGACTCTGTTAATAAAGATGGTTTTTTATTTGGGGGTATTTTGGGGCCTGTTTCTATTTCTTTTATTTTCTGGAGTGCTTTTTTTGCTTGTTTATTTGTTTGTTTAGACTGAGTGAAAGCTTTGAATCAGGATAATTGTAAATGAAATGGTAGTTTCAGTTTCACAATTTGATGAAACATTTTAAGCAATGGATTTCCACCATGATTATTTTTAAACAAAAGTCTTATCTTTAACGCTTTTGTGGGTGTGATGCCTTCTGTGGAGGATTAGACGTTGAATATCTTATTTCTGCAGTAGGAATATACAACTTATATGAAATTTTCAAGTCTCTACAGAATTGAAAAGTCAGTGTGGTTACTGTACTTTGAAACATGTGTATACTATGGGCCTAAGGTGTTTTTTAATCTTTCATCTTTTTTAGGGATCAAATATCATTAGAAAAATAAGCCATGGGCATTACAAACGTGGTCTGGTGAAATTCAATATTCACTATGACAATTTAGAATATGAGCTCCTTGGGAGGAAAGTTAACTCACCACTCTAACTTTGCATCTAAATATCTTAAAATGTGCCATTGGTTTTATGAAAACGTTTTGATCTACACTCCTATTTTAAGTTCAAAAGAAAACCTACATTTTAAAGTGTATTCCTTTTCTGGGTATATTTACTTTGAACTATAGCATATAGTTTTTCTCATAAATCTAACCTGCCACTATCTGTTTTTAAGACTTTGTAAACTTCAAGTGGTTATGATGTGTGAAGTTTGGATTAAACTAAAATTTTTAGAAAACACATGTTATATATTTTGATTGTTTTGAATTTTAACATAGGCCAGTAAAAAACTTAAGTGTCTAGCAAAGTAATATACTGCACTCTGTTACTGTACGAAATCACAGAAAATTACCCCTTCCCATCATGTTAACAATAGACAAATGAAGCAGCTGTTCTTATTCTTAATGTAGTTGCTTGAAAAACTTGCACAACTTAATGAAAATGTCTCTACTCATAAAATTTAAAATGCTCACACATGGAAAAAGTCATAATGTTTTGGCAAATATTACTTTGTTAGGAATGTGAATGAGGTATACCTGCTTTATAACTAGAACTCTGTATAAATGGCATGAAACGGTGGTGGACTGCCAACTGAGCAAGAAGACTCTGACAAAGGACGAATTAATACTCTTCAAAAATACAGACAGTTCTTTCCCAAACATTTTTTTGATAAGGATGAATTATATACTCTTCTCTATTTTTTTTTTCCAGGCGTAATTCTTGGGTCATCATTTCTACTCACTATAAACGATTTTCTCCTTAAAACAAGTCTCAAAGAAAGAAGCCGCATTCTGATAGGACCATGTTGTGCTACTGCCAATCTGGAAGCTAAATGGTGTAAACACAGCGGCAATCCAGGCCCGGAGCAATCCATACCAAAAATATCCATTGACTTAAGAGGGGGTCTGCTACAGGTCTGTGGGTATTGGCCATATTTTTTTCATAGGTTATTAACTAGCCTCTGTTCAGTTTTTGAACTGTTTCACTAAATTTTAAAAGTGTGGTAAGAAAGGGTATTTGTCAGATTGCTACTTGTTAAATTTTCCACAACTTTATTGAGATATAATTCATACACCAGACACTCTACCTGTTTAAAGTATACAATTCAGTGGGTTTTTAAGCATATTCGCAGAGTTGCACAATCATTACCACAGTCAATTTCAGAACATTTTCATTACCACCAACAAAAAAACCCATATCCATTAGCAGCCAGTCGCATTACCCTCTAACCCCCTCATCAGGCCTAGGAAACCACTAATCTACTTTCTGTCTCTATAGATTTACCTATTCTTGACATTTCATATAAATAGAACCATATAACCTGTGATCTTTTGTGACTGACTTCTTTCACTTAGAGTGTTTTCAAGGTTCATCCATGTTTACCAAGTGTCAATATTTTATTCCTTTTTATGGCCAAATAATATTCCATCATATGGATATACCATATTTTATGTATTGATTCATCAGTTGATAGACATTTGGGTTCTTTCCACTTTTGACTGCTATAAATAATGCTGCCATGAACATTTGTGTACGACTTTTTGTGTGGACATATGTTTTCATTTCTCTTAGATATATAACTAGGAGTGGAATTGCTGGGTTGAATTTTTTTTTTTTATGTGTAGACTTTTCTTTTTGAGACAGGATCTTGCTCTGTCACCCAGGCTGGAGTACAGTGGTACAATAATAGCTCACTGTAGCCTCAATCTTCCAGGCTCAGGTGATCCTCTTGCATCAACCTCCTGAGTAGGTAGAACTGTGTACCACCACACCCAGCTAATGTTTCGTTTTTTGTTTGTTTGTTTGTTTGTTTGTTTCAGTAGAGATTAGGTCTCACTATGTTGTCCAGGCTATAGATTTTTTAAATTATTAATACTAAAAGTAGTCAACTTGTTGCAGGCACAGTGTCACTAGCAATATATAAGAACCATTTCCTAATATTAAATATTTTACATGTGATGAGATCTGATTACAACACTTGATAAATTAGTCACATTGCAAGCTCTTAATGCATTTGTATTAACAGCCAAGTGTAGAATATATGAAGTTATCCAACTTATTTCTTGATTATTTTGTGTTTGGATAGATTTTAATTTAATCTTTATGTAATTTGATGCCACTTTAAACTTGACATGAATCCAAAAAGCTTGAAAGATTCACAGTGATAGAAAATTAAAACAACTAATTGGTCAATAATAGAGACATTAAATGTGAATTTTCTTTCTTTCTTTCTTTCTTTCTTTCTTTCTTTCTTTCTTTCTTTCTTTTTTTGAGATAGGATCTCATTTTGTTGCACATCCTGAAGTGCAGTAGTGTGATAACAGCTCACTGCAGCTTCAGCCTCCTGGGCTCAAGAGATCCTCCCACCTCAGCCTCCCAAGTACCCAGGACCACAAGTATGCACCACTATGCCTGACTATTTTTTTTAAGAGACAGGTTCTCACTATGTTGCCCAGGCTGGTCTCAAACTCATGGGCTCAAGTGATCCTCCACCCATGCTGGGATTACAGGCATGAGCCATAGCACCTGGCCAATTTTCTGTTTTTATCTAAAAATTGTATTGCCTCAAGTTTTCACCAGTTTTCTTTTTAATGTACAGAGCAAGATTTGGGAAGATCCTAATAATTTATTGTTTTGTGTTGCTTTGGAGATTTTCAGCATCTATCAGAAATCTTCATATATTTAGCAATAAGCATGTATTACTTTATCAAGAATATTCATTGTCTTACCTTTTTTCCAAGGCAGCCAAGTAACTTCACATTAAAAACAGCAATGATCTGTTTACATGACCAAGTGCTTAAAAATAAAAAGTAAGAAAATTTTAAACCACAGCATCAATAAAAGCAAAAACAAAGTACAGTGTATTATCTCTGTATTACAGTCATTGTCTCTTGACAATTTAAAGGCTAGAGCACAACATTCTACTCCCCAGTTTAATTTTCACCTATCTCTATTTTTCAACATCCAATAAAAATAAGATTGATGAGAACACAAGTACACTTAGTGTTATATCTCTTACTTTCATTTCTGAGATGCCTTAATTCCAGAGAGCAGAACCTAAGCCTAGGGTTTAAAATTTACCCACACGATATAGGGCTATTATTTTCTACTACTATATATTCTTTTGTCTTTTCTGTGTTACCTGGTTCTCTTAGAATTGATAGTTGTATTGCCTTTATTTAGTATTTACAGAGAAATTTAACATTTTTGAAAGTTTTAATCTTCATTGTAACCTACTGGTCATTATATGTCTATAACTTATTATAGACTAATATTACTCACATGCAGAAAAAGAAAACTTAATCTCCATTAGAGGAAACGCTAAGTCCTTTTGTTCTGAAACTCTACTGTAGCTACTGTAGTATAGTTGATTCTCAGGGGCTCTGGAATCCTCTGTGTTGGCACAGTCTTACTAACCACGGAAGTTGGGAGCCTTCTAAGTTCAGGTTCATTGAGAAGGCTCCCTCTCTTTTTCTCTGAAAAATAAAAGTGCAGAGAAAGGAACCCTATTATAAGGATTGCTTATTTAATCTCATGGCAAAATGTCAGAGCTATTCCACAGGTTATTATTATGATTTTATTAACATTTTGGCCTAGAGGATCTTCATTGCCTTCTCTCAGACTATAATAGGGTTCTTTTCCCTCTTAGCTAAATTAATTCATAAACATTACTTCACATCAACATACTTCAACATTTAAATTTTATTGTTATTCACACAATATAAAATATAATTAATTTTTTGTTGTTATATATTTACTCAAGCAGTAGAATTTCATCCTGTAGGTCAGTTACTTTTTAGGAATTACAGTTTATTATAAGTAATTAAATTGAACATAATTACAGTCCTACAGTAATTCAAATATGATTATACCTACTTAGTCTCAAGAAATATTTGTATTTAAAAGCCACTAGAATTTTTTTATGATTTTAAAGGTCTTCTGGGGTCAAGAACATTTGAATTGTTTAGTTCTCCTACATGAATTACTCAATGGATACCTTAGTGAGGCGGGAAATTTTGAAGTACAAGTTTCTGAACCAGTACCTCAAATGTCATCTCCTGTGGAAAAGAATCAGACATTTAAAAGTGAACAAACTTCAGATGACCTACGGACAGGTCTATTTCAATATGTACAGGATGCTGGTAAGTAGCAATAGCCTCAGTATGAGAGTGTGTGTGTGCATGTGGGTGCATTTTAAATGCATGTTGACTAAATAATAACAATCAAGATGACTTTTTAAAGTGCATTAAAATTTGCAGTACAAAAATAGTACGTTATCATTCAGTCTCTCTTAGGGGAAGTTCTTGATTTCTTTCTGTTCCAGAATATATATAAAGCCGATCAACTAGCTTCTTTATATCTTTTATTCTCGTAAGTTTTTTTTCCTTTACTAAACCATGTTCCCCTTTAAAATCATACAATTAATTATATTTTTATTTGACAGAATATTTGAAATTGCCTGGGGTCTATGAAGTCTTATTTTATAATGAAACTGAAGATTGCCCAGGGATGATGTTATGGAGATACCCAGAACCTAGAGTGCTCACCCTTGTCCGAATAACTCCTGTGCCTTTTAACACCACAGAGGATCCAGATATTAGCACAGCAGACCTTGGTGATGTGCTACAGGTATGTAATGACTATTCATTGTAAAATGAAAATATTTTGGGAAAGCGCTGATCATATATTAGGAAAAATGTTTGGAACATACTTACTTCTTACATTAATAGTATCAGAGAGAAATACACATCTGTGTATGTGGTATGTGTGTATCCACACACATATATAATAGGATTTTTTAAAAAATAAGGGAATAATGTAATCCAAACTTATGATACATGGCAATTTTCAGAGTCCTCAGTTCTACTCTCCATTTTATTGTGAGTAGATTATAATGGGACAAGGAGGTGTCATTTAGTTCACCGCTCCTTTATCAAGTGCCTGTCATGTGTTCACACACTTCAGAGCTTCTAGAGCTGCCCCATGAAACAAAATATGCCCATGGAAGGCCAGAAATAGATGACTGTAGTTTTCATTTCCATAGCTGAAATGGTCTTGGGGCTTGAGGTAGGCTGATTTTTCTATCAAAGAAAAGGTCTAACCAGTGATCATATTCTCTAAGGTTTTGTGAAAGTGTGTTGCTTGTTAATTCCCTGAGTTTAATATAAATGTCATTGTGGATATCACTATATTACCACTGTACTTACTAATATTCTACTGATAGGAATTTCTCTTAAAATTTGTTTCTTCCTTAATCTTCCGCCTATTACTAGATCACAGAACCACCCACTCAAAATCTACAAGTCATTCCTGATTGCGTTCTTTCCCTACCTCCCTGCATCAAAGCCCATCAACAAGTCCTATCAGTTCTGTCTACAAATTCTCTCTGTTTCTGCTGATGCAACTTGAGTTCAAACTGCCATCTTCTGTTCCCTACTCCAGTAGCTTCCTAATTGGCCTCTATGCTTCTGTTCTTGACCACTTGGAATGCATTCTCCAAATAGCAGCTAAACTGATGGTTTTTAAATGTAGGTTATACTATATCACTTCCCTAACTTAAAACCCTGTAGTGGCTTCCTCTAATACTTAGAACAAAATTCAGATCTCTTGCTGTGGCCTGCAAGGGACTCTGCTCACCTCTCCAACTGGAGTTCATGCCAGTCTCTCCCTTTCTCATGATCCTTCAGCCACTCTGGCCTCCTTTTTCTCCTTGAGCAGACCACCTCTGTCACATTACCACCCTTATTCTTTGTCAGTCAGGTACCAGCTCAAATGTTGTATCCTGACTAGCCCACTACAAGTACTTCATTCTGTATTGCATTACCTTGTTTTACTTTCTTCATAGTTCTTATTGCTAGTCGGAATTATGTGTTTGTTTACTTGTGTGTGATCTTTCTACTGTTAGAAAACAAACTCCCTAGCCGGGCGCGGTGGCTCAAGCCTGTAATCCCAGCACTTTGGGAGGCCGAGACGGGCGGATCACGAGGTCAGGAGATTGAGACCATCCTGGCTAACCCGGTGAAACCCCGTCTCTACTGAAAAATACAAAAAACTAGCCGGGCGAGGTGGCGGACGCCTGTAGTCCCAGCTACTTGGGAGGCTGAGGCAGGAGAATTGGCGTAAACCCGGGAGGCGGAGCTTGTAGTGAGCTGAGATCCGGCCACTGCACTCCAGCCTGGGCGACAGAGCCAGACTCCGTCTCAAAAAAAAAAAGAAAAGAAAAGAAACTCCTTATATGTCTTGATGTATCTCCAGCCTCTGATACATAGGTACACTCACCAAATTTTTGAAGTGACTGCTCTGTTTTAACAAATTACATTTATAACACAAATCAGTTACATATTAATATAAGTAGTATTACAATCTTATTTCTTATTTAATTCTCTTTTTTTTTTTTTCGAGACGGAGTCTTGCTCTGTCACCCAGGCTGGAGTGCAGTGGAGGGATCTTGGCTCACTGCAAGCTCCACCTCCTGGGTTCACACCATTCTCCTGCCTCAGCCTCCCGAGTAGCTGGGACTACAGACACGTGCCACCACACCCAGATAATTTTTTTTTTTTTTTGTATTTTTAGTAGAGACAGGGTTTCACCATGTTAGCCAGGATGGTCTCAATCTCCTGACCTTGTGATCCACCTGCCTCAGTCTCCCAAAGTGCTGTGATTACAGGTGTGAGCCACCACATCTGGCCTACAATCTTATTTAATTCTTATTTAAATTCTTCATTGTAATATGTTTAGTCAGATGTTCATCTTCTGAATTGGTAACAGTGAAACGTCATCATTTCGTCAAGTGAACTACAGTGCAGAACAATCCAAATTGCCAAGATGTCAGCAGTCTCTATTGTGATTCTTAAGTTCTCCCATCTTTTTTTGCTTATATGCCAAGGCTACTGTCTGGGTCCCTGGGACTGTTTGTATCCCCTCCTATCAGAGTCTTATTCATGATGATATTCTCTACTGGTATTCTTGGATTCTTTTTGCTAAATGAAACAGCAATGTCTGTGAATTCTGTCTTATTAGACTTGCCTAAATGCAGAATATCTGTAGATTTTCAATCAAAATGAAAATACTCATATATTAAAGTTTTAGTTTCATGTAATGGCTAAAGGTTTGTAGTTATAGCTAGATATTAACACATTTATTAACATAAGTCTAATAATTATTGGTGGTATTATGTAAATTATATTAAATAAAGCATCTAAGATAGTACATTTACTAGTGGCAGTTTTCTATCTTCTCACTGCTATTAGGAGAGTATAGTGATTAAGAGGATGAACTGTAGCCAGAATGCCTGGGTTCAAAGTCTTGCTCTGGCACTTGCAAACATCGTCACATTAGACAAGTAACAACTACTCAGGTTGGTTTTTTGTTTTACTTTTTATTCCAACAACAAAATGAGGCTAATAATAATGTGATGATTATAAGAATCAATACAATCAATATTTATAAAACACATAGAACAGTGCCTGACACATAGCAAATGTTATATAACTTTTGAATATTACCACTATTACAGATTCAGCAGTCTAATTCAAAAATCTGAAATCCAAAATACTCCAAAATCCAAAACTTTCTGAGTGTTAACATGATGCTCAAAGGAAATGCTTATTGGAGTATTTCAGATTTTGAATTTATGGATTAGGGATCCTCAACTAGTATGTATTTATAAATATTCCAAAATCTGAAAAAAAAAATCTAAAATTCAAAACACTTCTGGTCCCTAGCATTTTGGATAAGGGATACTCAACCGATGTTATAATGACTGTTGTCCAAATTCCTTTCATCAAGTAGACGCACAGGCTAGACCAAGGAGGTCTTGAGTATGATGGATAACTCTACAGACCAGCTGGAGTAATCCAGGAGATCAGAGACAGTCCCAGGGACCCAGACAGTAGCCTTGGAATATAAGCAAAACACAGCCTGGCAGGTTTCAGCAAGCAAAGAGTTGGTATCAAAAAGGTCTTGCTATGTTTCATATTTTGTTGGAGAAATGAAGATCCCATATGTGGGCAAAATTCAAAGACAGGGATGCTGGCCCAGGGAGCAAGCCAGGATTGTAGCTACCGGAAGTTAAAAAGGAGGGAGAGCTGGATCCTAGTGGTGGGAAGGAGCACACTCAGAATCTACGGCTTGGATCGAGGAGCAGAGCAAGACTGGCAGTGAGGCTGACTTGATGCCATGCTGCTGAGCTCTCAGTTCAATCCTCATATTCTCCCAACTAGGATCAGAGTTTGTCCCAGAGCTTAGAGTGGGTCTTATCTGTGGAAACAACTCTCCTGAATTGCAGTCTTAGAACCATGCAAAATACTTTGTTTCATTAGAACTTCAGTTGAGGACAGAACATATGTAACATGAATCACAAGTTCAATTTAATACAACAGCTTTCTCCTTGAGGTTCTACAATGCCAGTCCCTGGTCTTGCTCTGGGGGATCCAGAGACAGATAAGACATGATCACCTCATTGAAAGCTCAATCCCTCAGCCTAGCAGGGAAGTTTCTGTGGTTGTGTGGGGTAGAAGAGTCTCTCTAATTTCATCTGTTGTCAGAATCATTCTCCTACCATATGTGATTATTTCTAGTTCTGTACTAGAGGCACAGCTAAAATCCTCAACAGCTGATCCTGAATTTCAGGGAGCTTATGAAAGGAAGGCCCTAATCAACCTGGTGTATATTATAAAATGGGTTTTGAAGTCTCAGTTGCCACTGTCCCCCCACCCCCGCCTTGTTGTAACTAACTCAGTAACCTTGGGCACACTACTGAACTTTTTGAGCTTCAGTTTCCTAAATTGAACATTGGAGTTGATGTTATCTACCTTTCACAGTTGTTGTGGAGTGTTATATCTAATACACTTTAAATAAATACCTTACACATAGTGAGCTCTTAATAAGTGCTTGTTTCCTCCCCTCCACTTTCTCTTATCACACAAATGCCTGGACCACTAAAAAAAGACTCCTAAATGGAATTCCAGCCTCCAGTATCTCTTCCCTCCAGCATGTCCTTCTAAGTTTTTACAGGAACAGATAGATTGTGTAATTCCCTGAAGAAAACCTTAAGTGGCTCTGTCAGTCTGCTAGACTGACCTTGAGAGCCCTGCATAAACTGCCCCCATCCCCCAATTTTGTCTTGCAGTCCCTTAGACATGGTCTGTCCTCTATCAAACTGGCCTATCTGGCATTCCCCAAACCAACCTGTGACATCCTACTTCCTCTTCATTTGAATCCCTCCCATCTCTGCCAGCTGAATTCCTCCCCACACTTCAGAAGAGCTAAAATGCCATGTAGTCAGTGAAGCCTTTCCTAGATGCCATGTTCAAACATGATACAGCCCTCCTCTGAAATCTTGTAGCACTTCATGATACTACTTTTATGCTATTTTTCAACATATTCCTCACACTTGAACTTACGTGTCCATATCTTGCGTCTCTCCTAGATTATATGTCTCTAAAGGAAGAGGTTGTATCTAATTTGTCATCATGTCCTTTACAGCAGGGGCTCCCAGCCCATGGCCTGTTAAGAACCAGGCCACAAAGCAGAAGGTGAGCACTGGGCAAGCATTCCCACCTGAACTCTGCCTCCCAATCTAATGAGCAGGGCCAAGATTTTCATACGAGCGCAAACCCTATTGTGAA